TTGGGCCTGGAGGCTTGGCAAGCCAGCAGCCATGCCTTTGGCCAAAACTAAAGATCTGTGAGGAGCCCGGAGAGGGGTCAGGCTGGCAAGAGGTGCCTGGGTTCAGGGCCCTGCTGTCCTTTCTACCCAGAACAACCTCTGCCTGGTACTGCTCTAGGCACTAACTTCACCCAAACTGGCCCTGCGCCATCCTTTTTCCTTTAGACTCAGATGCTAATGCAGGTCAATCTCTTCTTCATACCTGGAGAGGGAACTCTAGGGCAAGGGCCCTGCTCATAAACCTGTAGGGGTGGGAGAACTACCTGTGCCCTCACCCAGAGTTATTGGTGCTTGGTGCCTCCACACCATCTTAGGGGTGGTTCTCAACCTTGGCCACTCATTGGAATCAACTGGGGTGGGGGAGGGGGAGAAGCTTTAAAAAAAAACAAAAAACAAAAACTGGGCCTGAGTTCTACCCCCAGAGAGTTTGATGTGATCTGTTTGGGTGCTGACAACACCAAGAATTTTAAAGTCTCCCCAGGGGATTCTGAAATGCAGCTTAGAACCACTGATTCTGAACTTGTAGATTTTGAACTGTATTTTCAAGATAACAGGGCTTTCAAAGCAATCCTACAATCGGGGACCTGAGTCCTGGCAGCTCTGTGCTGCATCTAGGTAGGTGGCATCCAGCAGGTAAGAAATGATGCTGGAGGCAGGGCCAGTCACCTAAGCAGCCTGTGGCCCTCAGCCTGTGGGTCTGGAAGGTGTCACCTGCAGGTCCAGAAAGCAGTGGGGGTGAGGAAGGAGAGAAAGAGGGGAGGAGAGGGGGGAGGACACACTGTCCCCAGCAGTGCTGTGACTTTGACAAGCTCTGACTTCATGGAGAGGAATTTCACATGGAAACAGCAGAAGACATTTGCAGCCAAGAAGAGCCATTTCCTTTGGTTGAAGCCAAATTCAGAGGAGAGAGGAACAGAGGCTGCTCAGGGACGCCAGGCAGGGATCTTGAGGAGCCAGTGTCGCAGCAGCCAATGGAGGAGGGAGGAGGGTCCTGCAGGGAAGGCCTCTGGGGCTTAGGATGCAAGTCTCCTCCATCTGCACTAGGCTTTGCTGAGCCCTTGTGGCCATATCATTTGATGTGCACAATGGCCCTAGTTGACAGGTGTTACTATCCCAATCTCAGAGCTCAAGCTTAAGGTCAACTTAGGTCTGTCCGTCTCTCCATCTTGGCAAGGACAGGAGGAGCCCTGCTCTTCAAATAGTGTCTCGATTTTAGGCTCGTGGTGAGAGAAAGCCATCCAGAATCCCTCCGGCCTCTTTGGGAGAGCCTCTCCCTAACTGTATAAAATTCTATAAAATATTGGAATACGCCAAAGAGGAGAAGTAAAACATTCTCCTCACCACCTAGATCCTGCCAGCACCTCGGTGACTACCTGGCCAAAGTTATGACCTCACCCCATAACAAAAAAACAATTTCCGGAGGATGAGGCCCAGAAACCAGGATTTTAAAAAGATTCCCAGGTGATTCTAATGTGCAGCCAAGGTTGAGAACCATTGGTCTAGAGCCACTTCCCTGAGCACCAGGTGCAACTGGAGAAAACACCTCTGTCAGCACCAGCTGATCCAGCGGAGACTCTGACCCAACTTGGAGAATAAAAGGCGGAACTACCTGCCCTGGGCCACCCTCTGATCTAAGTGGGACAGGAGCCAGCGCCTGAGACATCCCTCTGATCTTCCAGTGGCTCTTAGGCCCTGAAGGAATGCAATGCCGGGTGTTTCTCCCACAAATGGGAAATTTAAATGAATTCAGTGAGATGGGGCCTGTCCTTCCTTGCCCCCAATACTCCTTTGATAAGCACTTACAAGACTAGCAAACTATAACAAACTCCTTTTAAAATATAACAAACTATTGTATACGCATTTTTTAAAGTTCCTTCCAATTATTGATCAGTGACTGGAATCTCCTCACCCTTTGTGAGACCCCAGCTCTCATGTGTGCCGTCTCTCCAGCGCAGCTCCCTGAGAAGGCCTCCTTGGCATGCGCGGCTGCCTGTGGTCCCGGCCTCCTGACGGAACCTCACCCAACCCCCTCCCATCCTCCATGCCAGTCCGGCCAGGCTAGGCTCCCTCTGTTCCCCTCCAGCAAATGTTTATTCCTTTTGCACCATCCCCCACTACCACAAATTGTGCAGTCGAGTGTCCCACATTTGGGGAAATCACAATGGTCAGCACATGCGGAGTGTGATAGGCCTCGCCCTGGGAAAACAACCTTCGTGATCATGGTGTCTCCCCTACCAGGTAAGTATGCAAATGTTTATCCTTGCCTTTTGTCCAAACCAGGTTCCTTGCCTGCCACCTTCTTCCCTCTCCTCTCTGCCTCTCAGCCTCTTGGTCCCTTGGCTGTCCTCCCGAATGCTGCCTTGTCCCTGCTTCTGACTGCCTGGGCCTTCATTGGAGAAATTGTTCCTCTGGACACCAGCTTCCTGAGACGAGGGCCTGTCCTCTCGGTGAAACTGCCCCTGAGCTC